CGTCCGTGCGCACAGGGGAGGATGATCGTGGAAACTTTGAAACATGAGCTGCCTATCTTGTCATAACAAACTTGACAATGATATGAAAACTCCCAGATCTTGCACTCAACCACCGCTACCCCTGATGGAAAATCTTGGCAGTGGTTGTGGCATGTCGGCGGCATGGCGGCGGGTGCAAAAGGATGATCATCTCCGTGCAGCAACAGCGTGCACCGAGGTTGTGCAGATGCTGGAGGCATGCCGTGCTGGGTTGCGCTACCAGTCGCACAGCCGATCCTCATTGGAGCATGTCAATATTCGTTTCTGTTTTTGTTTCATGTTGTAATCACTGGACGGTTGTTTGAGGACTCTTGCGGCCTGTTGTCTTTCAGTGTCCCTTAGATGGGCCCCTCAAGCCTGAAGCAGGGCCCGGGCTCAGCCGCTTGCTACTGAGGGCGTAGCGGCGGATGGGGGTGGAAGTTCCGGAGACCAGAAGGCTGTGCAACCGCAAAAATCCGAGCAAAAAAAATGTTGGGTGAGCATGCGGTGTCCGCAACACATTCCAAACTTGGGAGGCACTACCTGCTGGAGAACGTGAGATGGGGCTAGTAGTCCACGAAAAATGCGAGGTATATCCAATTCCGTTTGTTTTTGGACTCGCTGTATCGTCGTCACCCACATACATGATGTTGTCGAAAAAAAGGAAGCGCGGTTTTTTTTTCTTGCATTTTTGTTGCAGCTTTTGTGTGGGCAATTGGTGCATGTGAGGACAAAAATTTGCGGAGAGCCAAAATGGCACGCGAGCAGAGTTGCGGCGACCCCTGCAGAATGGACACGGCCCCAGCAGTTGGCCGCGCAAACCCTCCTTGCGCAGGGTTTCCACATCAGCGCTAGTCGGGGGTGCGAGCCCCGCGAACCCCGCAGAAGACGACGACCCCCGCATCCAAACATGATAGGGTTGGACGCACGGTGCCGTGGCCGCTGGAGCGCTCGTTCGACATGTTTTCCTTGTGATTTGGAGTCCAGGTTCAAGTCCTTGAGGGCGACGCTGGTATCGACACGCGCGCCAGTTTCACGACAAATGTGGGTTGCCGCTCGCTCTAAGGGTCTTGCTCGGTGCTCGGGGACCCCGAACTGGGCGCAGGCGGAGCAATGATCCCCGAGCGCATCTAAAACTCCTCCACACCGGCAGAACCGCGGAGTCATCGGCAACGCTAGTCGCAGCCGTCGCAAGAAGAGAACCGGAAATTTGTCATTCGGGATCACCAGGTCCGGTCCGCTTGGGGTGACAGCGCAATGTGGATAAAAGGAAAAAACCATGGGACGCCGTGGGCTAGAGCATATCCGACAGATACGTGGCACATCTTCAAAACGCGGCATTCACCAGGTAGACGCGGTGAGCAAGATGGCAGCACGAAGCTCACAGATCCCGAACACCAAACTATGCCATTTCACCTGCGTAAAAACGCAGAACACCATGGAATGTCGTGGATTAGAGCATGTCCGGGATGTGGTGATCTCCTTGCTTGCCTTTGCAATCGCTAAGAACGCATACCCCATTTTAGATCTGCACAGAATGAGCGCGGACTCAGAACACATCCTTGATGCACTCCCGCCCAAATATCACACGGTTTGTTATGTTCGTTGCTCGCCCTGCTGGTCAAAATACCTACATTGCAAAATCCAAAGGATCTGTTCAGACACGGACGCGGGCACCCTAGCTCGGGGGGACGCAGACATTAGCAGCAGCAGCTGCGTGCATTGCAAGTCTGGCAGTTGCGGTATAGGTGGTCAAGAAGGCGTCATCGGTCCCTTTGCACGCACTACTCGGCCCAGGCTTGCACGAACGCTGGCAAGGGGGCAGATGACAGCAGCAGCATTGGCACCGCACATACATGATCACAGCCGCGGACAGACGCAGGAACATGACTACGTCATCCTGCATCGGGCGCCCACAACTTTCGACCTCCATGACGAACACGATTGGAGAACATCCACGGGCAAGGCTGAGATCAGGGTAAGTGTGTGCGGCATTTGCGCGGTGCAGCGTGGTGCACCAAAGCCCACGGCTCTGCCTCACATCACAGGTGAGGAGCTTGCGATGGTGGCGTCTACCGCGAGCTACGCAACATGCCAAACGGGAGGTCAGTGCAGGCGACCTCGATGCACCATGTGTCGTGCACAGGGCCGTCCATGTTGAAAGCATTCTGATGTCTGCGCTTTGCCTTCACGAACTGCAGGCGTGGACTCGTTCTTTTGTCCCATCTAGTTCAGGATTTTCCCGTCACTCATTTGGTGAGTTGGAAACCTGCAACCCGAATTTAGGGGAGACTTAAATGGGAAGTGCATCCAGTTCAAGCATGTTCAGGCCAGTGTACGCGGCATCATTTTCGAAGGTTCTATGGCCTTGCAGCATGGACTTTGCTGGTTTCCCTTACGCATCGTGTTTGGCTCAAGCTCAGGCACCTACCTATAGAAAGGCACTCTTTCAGATGAATCTGGATGGCCACATGAGGCGTGCTGGGGATAAACAACGGAACGATGCCTCTGCAGAGTTGTGGTGATATCGGGAAATTACAGCAAAAATGCAGGAGTACCATATGTTTCATGTACAGCTTTCAGTGGCAGCAGGCTAGACAAAACTATATGTTTCATGCACAGCTTTCAGTGGCAGCAGGCTAACGAAACCGAAGAAGCAATCATCCCGAGAGAGACACAACTGACCGGGGCAGATGCTTTCGAGAAGAAGAAACTTACCAGAAAGAAGGGTCTCTATATAGCTTCTACAACGATGCGTGACGTCCGTGTTCTCGCCCTGCCATATTTCCCGTTCGCGCGTGATGCCCCAGGCTTGGGAATGGTGCAATGCACTCCTAACTGTTCAACGCCATCGATTCCTAGAGGCAAGTGCAGGCCAGCTGTTTTTAGGACTCAAAAAGTCGAGCTCATGGAGCTGGCGGGGGGCTGGCTGCGAAGGCACCGAGCCGCCCAAGCAGCTGTCTGCTCGCTTCAAGCCTACCTGCGCTGCCCGGATAGCTGAGCCAGGCGAGTACCTTTCTGAACTGACCTGAAAGTCTGCACAACACACAGATACACCTAAGACATTTTCTTACAAGCGAATACTGTCTGGGTACTATTATGAACGGCTGCTTATGGGAAATCATCCCAACTCTGGCACATTGGCAAAAGAACACATATACATAGCACATCATCTTCGACTGTACATCACAAGCTTTCCGAGTTCAGAGGCTGTTGTCATCCAAACATTTCTCCTTCCAAACCTTACCTTCCCACTTTCGTTTTCGAAAGATCTGCTAGAAGGCACGCCTTGTGTATCTGCAAACAAGCCGATATCTATGGTCAGTTGCATGCTTGTCCATCGCTGGAATGAAGGCACATTGCAAGTGCTGCCCGACTGCTTCTCCCTGTGAATACGTGCTGCGCAGAACACGAGCCCTGCACGCGTGGCCTGCTTGGCAAGTTTCAGGGGTGGCTTGAAGATGGTCATCAGCTTCTTCCGTCAGCAGTGCTGGACAGAACACCAGCATGTTACTGCATGTTAACGGCGATACAACCGAAAAAGAATGATGCACGGATTTTCTCCCTTGGGAGCGAACAGGCTCGATCCCTATACAATGTGCTTGCATCAATCCAACTGCTATCGCAGTCTCGGCATAGGAATGTGGATGCGCGTGGCACATACATGTGCATGGATTGTCTGCATACGTCTGCGTAAAACAGTGGATGCGGCTGCCTGTATCCGCTCAACAAAAGGGCCACAGGCCTGGAACAAGGGATACATCTCCAAACGTCTTGGATGGCAACATGCTTTCCCAGTATGCGCGCAACATCACGCAACGAGAAAAGGCCAAGTTGCCCACGCATGCCCACACGGCACAACCCCCAGGACAATGTGGGGATAATATTGGGAAAATGGAAAATAAAATGGAAACTAAGGTTTAGGGTTCGCAACAGCCAAACGCAACCTCAGCCCCAGCAGCGACTGAAGCTTCAAACTACGCACAGTTTCAGTTCTGTGGTCACAGGCTTGGCTGGGGCAATTTGCGATCAGCGTGTCCTGCTGGCGGACATCCGCATTTGGCTAGGTCTTCAGGGCAGGACTGGAACAGTTGATGGTTAAGGTGGCTCATCCACCCACCTGTGAAAACCACGAAAAAAAAACGTGTCAACGATTCCGACGCCTACAACAAAACCGAAAACAATAACCACAACGATGATGATACAACACACGCGTGAGGAGGAGGACGACGACCAGCGCCTACCAGCGCCACCGCAACAAGAACAGCAATAGCGAACAAGAAAAAGACTGCAAGCAATACCACCACCGCCGCCGCCACCGCGGCCGTCGCCACCACCACCACCACCACCACCACCATCACCACCGCAACCAACAAAACCAAATAACGACGAATTCCCGGAACCTCAGAAAACAAAAAAAATGAAAGAAAGCAGCAACTCAGACAACAACAGTGTTCCATTGGATGATGCTGCCGGCTATATCCACACGTGCAGCAAAACCGCAGCCTTCCAGGCGATGTGACGAGCTCTCCGTGCACTGCAGGGAGAGCCGCAAAGCATATGAAGAAACAAGGCCGCATGTGAGAGAGCATGGCGGCTGCAAAGTTCACTACTGGAGTAGTACAAGCTGGATGCGTGATACCTTGAGCCACAATTTAATTTCGAATGCACGCAATGATTATTTCCCAAGGCAACTTAGCACCTAGAAAAGCGACATCTGTTCTTCGGCACTGCGCAAATCCGACTCCTGTTCCACGACATCAAATTCCAGCGATGCTGTTCAGGTGGTAAAGACTCAGAGAATCGTCTGGATCTTGGAGGCGAAGTCTGCCAGTGATGCACGGGCTTTGCAACCTGCAACATTGCTCCGCGTGCTGGACATCAGAACCCGACATGTCGCAAAGTTGAAGAAGATCCGAGCTTTCAGTTGCAAGCTCGTGTCTGTAATGCAGTCATGCAAAGCGCACAGAAGATCTGCATCATTACATCCACAGCAAGTGCCAGAGCGCGTTCAACTCTGCTTGGGCCAAGTAATGTAGGACCTTGTTGTATTGGGCAGCTTGTCCGCTTGCAACACAAAGTGCATCGTAAGTCGTTGTGTCCGGAGAAATTTTGGAAGCCGTCATGTCGGCAAGCAACCATGTGGTATTCGCCACCCAACCGATGGAGCTACACATGCCTACCAAGGCATTGAAAGTGAAGCGATCTGGACGGAGCGCTCGTTGCAGCATGTCATGGTAAACTCTGAAAGCGCATTGCGGTTTTCTCCCCCTCGCGCAAGCACTGATAAGCGCATTGTAGACAACTACATCCAGTTGCATGCTTTGAGACTGCATGTCTCTGTAACATTCCATGGCCTGAGTCGGCTGGTCAGATTTATCATATGCACGGACCACCGCCGTCTGTGTGACAAGGTTCGGCACCAGGCCTTCAGCTTGGAGCCTCTGGTGCAGTGCCAAGGCCTGCTCCGCGTGCGACGCTTTTTCACATGCATTGATCAACGTACTGTACGTTATCAAGTTTGGGGAGACACTTTCATTTTGCATTGCTCCAAGGATCTGCATGGCTTCGATGACATCGCTTCCAGATGCATATCCGCTCAGAAAGGCGTTGTACGTGATAATGTTCAACTCCACACTCTGGCAACGCATGTCTTGCAGGATCTGGCGAGCATCTGCTACATGACCCACGCGCGCGCAAGCACGGATAGCGGCATTGAAACAGACAACATCCGCCTCCAATCGTACATCCCTCATTTCAGTCAAAGTTGCGAGGGCCAGGTTGGCTTGTCCTTTCCTTTCATATGCTGTGATCAAGGCACCATACGCAAACTCATTCGCCTCAATGGACTGCCTTTGCATCATGCGAAACACATCATATGCCCGATCCGCTTGCGTGCACCTCCCACATGCACTCACCAAGGATGTGAACGAAATTACGTCAGGTTCTATGGCAATGTGTCTCATCTCGTGTAAAATGCCTAGCGCTTTGTCTGGCATGCGCATTGTTTCATACACATGAAGCAAGGTATTGTATGTGACCAGTGTGGGTTGTATTTCACTGTCTCTCATGGCCACTATGATGTCCAAAGCCTTTTGAAAAGCAATCGAGCGCGCACAAGCACTGATGACAGCGTTGATGTCGGACAAGTGGATTCGCCTCGCCATGAGCATGAGGAGGGCATCCGTCCAAGGTCTCGTCATCCCACCATGTCCTGCTCATCGCGGCGATCTGTATTCTTGCAAATCTTGCTGTGCAGAACATGGCCGGTCTCGCAACCCAACCCTACCCTATGCGGAAATTATTGTCTTTTGATGAGTGGCATGAACGCATACCACCAAGTTGCCGGTCATCTGCTCCAGCCCTCCTATTGCAGCCTCTGCGCCATAAGACACAAACATGCCCGCAGAACTGCTTCTAGTTGTAGCCCAGTGAAAGAAAACTGGGGAGACGTGGGAGTTCCCAAAATCAACGGTACCCTCTTGCCTTTCTGGGTCTATACAGGGACCCCTCTGTTTTGTGAGACTACCATTTGCTTCAGAGCTGACCCAGTTTGTGTGCTCATGCAGCGCTTGTATCTGGACGGCAGCATTTACGCTTTCATGCTGTTGGTCAGCTTGATCCACCAACAATAAACATATCTATTGTTAACATTACGATGCAATATCTTCCATGTTCTTCTTCATTATCCCTATTTACCCCAACATATTCCCCACAAACCCCCAGTAACCCTATTATAACGCAATAATATCCATTGAATCCATTGCCATTTCCATAATTGCCCTTCATTTGCAAAGGGCTCCATCTCAGTGGATCCCTTGCCAGTTGCTTAGTCTAGTTTTTGCCATCGGGCGAGTTTTTCATGCAGCAAAATGCACATTGATATTGGATTGCATTTATCGGACTGCATCCATTTCACATGTTCGAATGCATCCGATTACCAGTGCATCCATGCCCAAACCATAATAACGTGCATGTCCGAGTACGCGCGATTACCAGTGCATCCATGCCCAACCCATGATGATGTTCGGGTTCCAAGAGCATATGGTCACCAGAGCATCCATCCCCAAACCTGAATCACGTTCGTATTCCAAGAACATACGAAACCACATCATCCATGCGCAAACCAGAATAACATCCCGCAGGAGCAAACTGCCCTCTTCGAAAAGACTGGCCAGTATCCGGCCATGCATTCGTTCCGAGGCAAAAGAAAGTGGCATCCCGCTGCTTACCATAATCGTAACAGCAATTAGGGCAATAGTACCAATAGCAATGATGATACTAAGAGCAATACAAATCACTGTAATGGGACGAAGAATACTAGTCATGACCACAATAATAGTAATAATCATCGTGATAATGATAACAGCATAAGTAGTAACAATCACAACCATCAGAATGATCGCGGTGATAAAACGATGCCTGCTCATAGCGATGTTGAAATGACAATACTACTAAAGAAGATGCTGAGAACAACAAATTAATCATGACAACAATGGTCATCTTCATTTTGCGATGACGGACTGCATGTCAGCAAAACAAACAATAAATAGTTTCGCATTCAACACATATCGCGCTTTTTGCACGAAACCATAGCCGCCGTGTAGGAAACAGTAAGTCTTTAAGTTCGTCAGGCTGAAACTATGGGTTTGTTGCACATTCACATTCCCAAAAAATCGTCATTTTCTACAAACCTAGAATGCCCTAGAACGACTATCAAACCAATCCAAAACCGCAGGAGTTTCTCAGTTTTTTGCGGAAAACGCGGACAATAAACACACCCGATCGATATGCATTTTTTTCAAAAGAAATCTGGGGGTTTCCCAAAATGAAAGGTATGTTTTGTAGGTCCCTACAATAAGATTATAGTATTGGAGGGTCTATATGGGGCCCCCTGTTCGGGGAAATTACCATTTTGATGTTTGGCAGTATTGCATAAGCGTTCAAGATCTTAGCTTTCGCTCCAACTTTTGAAGTTTTCATGGACCACAAAAACAACTAGAAACCCGTGCTTGTAATAGAGTCATAGTCATCCATTAAGCTGTTCACGTTCTCGAGCCATGTGTCCATTCACAATGCTGCAGCCGATGGGAGGATTCTATTGCTCACGGTGACAAGAGACGTACAAGGCAAAAATAATGCCATGTAAATACCAAAGCTCCACTAAGCCGCGTCATGGCGTTAGAAGGAAATCTCCAAGTGCAAAACTTCGGGATACGTAAGGAATACCGATTTTAAAGCTGAATATAAGCCCATGAAAATTACTCGTATATCATGTTCTAATTCATTGTTTCGCGAAATTCAAAAAGATGTTTTAATCAATTTAATCTTCCTGAAAACTTTTATAGGTTCCAGCAACACACTTCATACGCACATGTGGTGAACATGACTGACATGACATGCTAAGGCCAACTACACAGTGTCCCACATGAAAACTCTAAAGGAAAACTTTCTCACAAAGTTTTCCAAGATGGCCCCTTGAGTCTTGAGGGAACCGAACTCATCGTCACCCCGCCAAAGAATGGTAACATGACTGCTTCCATGCTTTCACGATGAAAACTCTACAAGTGGGACAGCATGCCTTTTCAAGTCAATCAACCAACAAGCTCACTACCGCAAGCACGCACGAGAAGTCTCTTGTCTTGGGCGAGCATGGGCTTACCACAGTCCTGGGCAAAAATCTAATCCAGGTGTTCAGGATATATTACAAAACCGTCCTAACCGCTGACCCGTGCACCTTGCAAAGCATGGATGGGCTAGAAACCACATCACATGTACATAACTGGCAGGACAACCAGCCCTCAGCTGCTGTCTACTCCAAGGACTCCAAGGCTTTTATGGCACCAGGAATTTGCACATCACATCACAAGGCGTCCCAAGCAAAGCAACGCCCAAATAGCGGCGGCACAAGTGCGGAACACAACTCCTCAAGTTGGCACCTTTCTCACACACGAGGTTGAAAGTTTCACTCCAGCCACTCAAGCAATTCATCTCTTCAAGAGAAACTCAAGGATAGGCAACTTTTCAAAGCCAAAGTTAGCCCCTTACACCCAAATGCAAGAATGCGCACACAGGTATTGCCACGAGGATCTGCATCTCGCAACACTCGAGGAACACCAAAGTGTACTTTGCAAAACCTTTCTGCCAAGAAACTACTTCATGAAACTAAATTTACGCAACAAACTTCGGTTTGGTTTTGGGTTCATCATGTCTGGTCGTGAGGCTCTGGCTCACCTAGAATCACATTCTCAAACATGTGTTCGATCGTGTGAAAATGTCTGATTCTACGCATACGCCTCATCATGGCATCACAGTACCAACATATGGTGAATCTTCCAGGATATCTCCTGCACGTGTCTCCAATTGTGATCTGCAAAGAGTAGTTTGCTTGTCGAAAACCATCACAATCACGGGCAATATAGATACTTCGACCTGAGACTGGTGCGGAAGCGCTTGGATCCCATTGAGGAGCTCTTTTCTCACAAGCTGTCTGACCGCCTGGTCGCTCATATCGGCTGCGATTTTGAGGCGCACTGACAAGACTGAAGCCAGATCCAGGCATTTCTCCCTATCCATGACCTTGCCTACAAAGGGAGCATACCTCGCCATCACATCTGCGTCCAGATGTATGCAGAGGCCGGAGACGGCGAATACGCAGGCACGGGCCCGTTCCTGCTCATAAGAGGACACGATGTCCTCCTGCCGGAATTTCGCAACCGCATACTCTACTTCATCCTTTTGCGACAGCACAAGCGCAGGCGCAAGATGCGAGTAGTTGAGTTATGCTGCTTATCCCCGTATGCTCCTCCTTTGACCCATACAACTCGCCAGCCTTTGGGCCCCAGGATTCAGTCACGAAGGGTGGCTCGCACTACTGAATCTATCGTCAAGCGGCAGAGTTTATCACCATCGTGATGGTAAAGCATTCCGCTGGCGGTGGTACCTAGGAGGTCAGTAAACATAGCCGGGGGAGCAGCGATGGCCCCTAGTTGCACCTGCAAAGGAAACTCTCGCCTGCTGGTACACTGCGCCCTTCGCAGGGCCACAACCGTGGCCAGCGCCATGATATGTGACCCTGCCGAGAATCCCTCTACACGGGTCGGGCTGACATGCGTTCTTAGCGCGGCTGCAAACATGTGCATGGCTGTAAGGGCGCAAGGGTGTGCCTGGGCAAGGTGTGCATGCCACTCGCCGGGATGGACGAACCAAAATTCAACCGAGGTTTGCGCATTGACCGCTGCATTTTCCGGAATGTCACCCCCATGAGCCTGCCTCCATACTTGCGGCGCCGCTGCATTATGGAAACTAAAAGGCCGGCATCAGACGCGCTGCCTTGTACGGGGCGGCTACACAGGAGTTACTAGTGTAGTTGTCGCTTCTACAGCCTGATGCTCCTAGACCCAAGTCAGGCGCAAGTGGCGGGACGTGAGCCAATGAGATGGAGTCAGGAGTCTTCGTCCGCCTGGCTGGGACCAGCACGCGCATCAACTGTGGCCGGCTTTGGTCCCTCGTGCTGACTGCGGCCATGTTCATCATCGGCAAGACCACGTTTGGAGGTTCGCGAGGGGACAGAGTCCCCATCGCTGGCCACCGGGGGCTTTAGAATGGCCTGTAGGGCCGCCATGAGGCTAGGTAGCAGGCAAGGGTAGATGACCTTCCATTCTGGCACAGTTGTGAGATGGTACTACGCGGGAGAAGTCAATGATAACTGGGTGAAAATGCCATTGTCGCAGCTGGCCTCGTCCTTTCAGGCCCACAGTGGTAGATTGCCATCTCGCCCCCAAGGGCTTCCGGCAGGGCGCCGAACTCTCCCTGCTGAAGGCATTGGAACATCTGCGTGCTTCCGTGAACCATAGCAGTGGAGGAAAGGGGGCGGCGTACATTGTTCCGCAAATCTGGTGGCCATGAACATGTCAGGGCCAGGTATAGATGCCCTACCCCTACCTGGCAATGGCAAGTGGCTATGACATAAAAGAAAGGGAGTAGGTTCTGTTCATATACCCCAGCTCCCCACCCTAGCGCCCTGCGCTTGCGAAGTGCATCGGCCACAGGCCCTGACAAGTACTTTCGATGGGAAAGGGCGGGCCTTATCGTTGTTGGGGAGTACATCACTCCACCAAAACCAGTGCTGGCACAAGACAAGGGCTTCCCACAGATACGCGTAATCTGCGGGGCTTTTGGCGCTCGCACCGGCCAGCGGCGTGCCATAAAGGC